CACACCAGACACACAGCACACACATACACACACCGCACACGCACATCACACATGTACACGTGGATGATCTCACAGCACACACATGAACACACACAGAGCACACGCATGTACACACCAGACACACAGCACACACACCGCACACGCACATCACACTTGTACACGTGGATGATCTCACAGCATGTGCACACAGAGCACACACACGCGTATGCACAGAAAGCCCACGTGTGCCTGCACATCCCGCACACGCACAGCCCACACGGACACGTGCATATGCACACGTTCAACAGAAGGATGCAGCCAGCAGGCCGACTGCGTGTGCACAGGCACACGGGATGTGTGCATGCCACGGAACACAGGTAATTGGACCGGGCACCGCTCTTTCTCTCTGTTCTCCAGCTCCAGAGAGCAGAACAAAGTGGCTGGGCACACAGCAGCCCCCTGTAGACGAGAGGCCAGCATCAAGCAGTGGGGAGCTGTGTGCAGGCAGGGGCGAGGCGGCCCCGTGAGCGCACGTTACCTGTCTCAGTTCCTGGGCGTCCCCCTCGGAAACCAGCGGCTCACTCATCTGCAGCGGAAGCGGCTGGCCCTCCTGGCTCCCCGGGCAGGGCTCGCGGTGCGTGGCGTGGTCCATCAGCCCAGACGCTGGAATGGAAAATCAAACAGCAGTGACACCTTCCCGGAGGCGTGAACAACGCAAGAACATTCCGAACTTCACGAGGAGTGATGTGTAAGACCGTCAGGGCTCTCTGAGCAGACGCAGTGTTTTCAACTCACGCACCAGTCTGTGGCCTCTGCGCCTGCTGGGGCGGTGGGGCTGGGGGGTCCGCCGCCCGAGCTCTGCTACGCTGAGCTGGGGTGGGGGCTGCCCGAGCTCACTCCGACCCCGGCCCAAGCTGTGTCCTTACCCCGCTCCGATCAGAGAGGGCACCACTGACCGTGCTCTGGGTCTGGCTCTGTAACTGCTCTCTCAGGAAAGGCCCTTTATCCGTGTGCGGCCACTTTTCTTCTCTGGGGGAGAGGGCTACACGTGGGGAGATTCAAACACGCCACTTGTGGGACCTGGTGAAATGCACATAAAGCACAGTGCTGGAAGCCGCAGCAACAGCTCGCCACCCCACAGAGCGCTGTGGTTCTCCAGAGCACAGGAAATGGCCAGCTGGTCGGGCCAAGCAAAGCTGGCTGTGTGGCCGCACGGAGGTGGGGCTGAGTCAGAGCGTTGCACGTGGCCGGCCCTGCTCCGGGTGTTCCTAGTCACACAGCACCTGTGCCTGGGCAGGCTCCCCGAGGAGCGGAAAGGTAGCCTGGAGACGTGGTGATAGCCGAGGGGGCCTCGCACGCCCCCATGGCGGGCCACCTGTCCTTTGTTTAAAGAGCTGACTCCAACCATAGGCCTGGCACCACAGGGCCCAGGGAAGGGCATCGGCCAGGGTCTGCTGCCTACGCTTCCCCATGGTGCAAGGCACCTCAGTGATGCAGCACGGCCCGTTCGCGTATTGGGATGCTAGAAAGCGGACAGCTGTCTGGGTACCAGCACCAGCTCCTCTGGGCATTTCTCTGCTTCCGGGGGGTGGGGGGCACAGAAGGGCCAACAGGACCCTGGCGGTGCTGAGCAGAGCCGCCCGATGAATGCGCCGTCAGGAAGGGGGAGGGACAAGGAACGCGGTCTGGGCCACAGCTCCCCACTGGGCCCGAAGAGCAGGAGCCCGGCTGGCCACC